CCCCAAAACCCCAAAACCCCAAAACCCCGCAATGACAGAATTAGAATAAAAAAGAATATAGAGAAAATTAAAAAAATTTAAGATTTAATTTATTTTGAGGGAAATGGAATTCTATTTCAAGTAAAGATAGTTATTAAATGAGACTGATTTGGCTATCTCTCTTGACCATAATAATAACAATGATGACAACGATAAGTACTCCTATGAGTCCTAGGAGGAAGAGGAGTCAGAGTAGTACGAGGATGAGCATCGAAACGATTTCGAGGACATGACCAGCGATTCAGAGAATGAAACGAGTTATAAAAATGAATAAAGTTCGCCTAATTAGCAATAAAAGTACAACTAGCAGTATGCAAGGACCGAAGTTAAATCCAATAATAACAACTCTCTTATTTAAAAACCAGACAGCCACAATATGACAATGGTTTAGACTAGTTAGGAGGGAAAGATAATGCAGCGCTCCTCAATAGGCGACAGCACTTCTGCGACTACATAGAATGAAGACTCTTCATCTTATCAGACTGCTATCAACATCAGCATAAGACCTCCAGAGAAATTATTAGAGCCTCGAAGAATTGAGAAAAAAGAGTAGCTACGGTGTGACGATGAAGACATTGTAAAAAAGAACTTCAAGAGATTTCTGAGGTTGGTTGAACAGCATAAGAGCACCGTGAATAATCAGAGCAATATGCAGATCTAGCAGCAACAACAGCAGGCATAGAAGTAAAATCAACTACCTCCTGATGACTTGAATATCAAAACTTCAGATGACTACAATACTAAAGATTTGATTCAGACTGAAGGGATATTCCAATTGTTCAGGATACCTGGCCAGCATAATAATCTGGTAAGAAGGTACTGCTACATGCTTGATCAGGACTACAATCATAATAAGGTAGTGGTAAGCGGCTATTAAGGAGGGCTACTTAAGTTGATCGAAAATGTCATGAATAAATAATCTTAAATTAAATCGCAGCACTAGAATAATAATGTAGCTTAGAGATCTCATGTTAGTCAAGAGAAGAGTAGCAGCAACAATAGAACTTTGTGATTGAATAGCAAAGGAGGGAGCGCTAACAACAATAATCACCTTCCTGCTAAGAATCAATAGCTTCAACAATAGGAGCAGAACTCAAATTTAAACAGTTACTAACAGAGTCTGATTAATCTGATTCAGCAGTAGCAAATTAATCCTAATTCAAACACAACGAGGTTTTTCTTTAATTTTGACAGAGAAAATGCTGCTCAAATGTTTGGATATCGTTTAGCATTCAATACTTAAACTGATATCCCCAAACAGACACAGTTCATTAAACCTAGAAACGCTAAGAACATTATTGCTGAGGAGTAAATCAACAAGCTAGCTGGGAGATACGAGATCATTAATGCATTTAAAACAAAAAGAAGATTATTAAGACCGAAGTAAAATCCTTAATTAATCAAGGAACTACAATCTAAGAATTAGAAGCAAAATCAGCCAGTGGCAATATAAAATGCAAATGTGCAGCAAGACCTTGCATTAATGACTTTTGAATTAAAGCAGGGAGAGTAATAAAGCCAATCAGTGTAACAGCAGTAATAACAATAGTAATAGTAATGCGATGAAGAAATAGTTTATGAGAGAGTTATTCAAGGTTTACCATGGCATTATATATAGAGTACAGAGCCTACTATCAGAGATTCAAGTCATAACAAAGTTAGCAACAGAAAGCATTTAAAGCATAACTAAATATCTCCAAATAAAAACAGCACTCTCAATTCATTCAGATAAAGACAGCAATATCCCAACCCAACTTTAGGTCAATACAAATCTTAAAATGCAAGTCAAAGAGAACTGTATAGAGTTTTGCAGCAGAAAAATTAGCAGGCTTAGCCTAAATCTCAAACTACTTAGAATGCGTCTCAAATTCATTCGATAAATAGAGTCAGATAGGATTCTTCTCAAAATTAGAATCGAAGTATGGTAAGCAAAAAAAAGTCAGTCATTGTAAGAAACTTTGAAGCGCATCAAAACAATCTAAAGCAAATGGATATAACAGGTGTGCTTGGGGGAGTGAGTGCTCACAATGAGTCTCTCTCTTAATCTATGAAGTAGCAGTCAAATGGCAAGGTAACTACTACATTCAGACAGAATCAAATGGTAATTCAGACCATCAAGAAGCATGTTTAAAATTAAAATCCTAACTATTCTGGGATAGGTGGTTTGGGTTTGCAGTAGTTCGTTTCGAAGAGCAACACCATCGAGAACAACTCTCAGTTTTACAACTCAGTAGTCCAATAATATATGGAGAGTAAGAGCTAAGGCTACTTCCCGCAGATCTAGAATAAGAATCAGAATCATAATGACAGTCATGTATTCCTCAGTGTAAATAGTCAATCCTAAGTTTAAGCAGCCTAGGCACAATAATGCAATTTAAATAAGAATAATAAGACACCCAATACCCTTATAAATAACCCTAACAAAGACAATTTAAAGTAAAGATCAGTAACCGAAGATGATTCATTTGGAATCGGAATAGGTGGAAGGAAGAAGCTAGAAAATAAGATATTCTAAGAGGATATGATGAATATTTAGAACACCAGCATTGAGAGATATATGAAACGGCAGTAGCAAATACAGTCCTATAAGATTAGTAGGAATATTTTTGACAACAAAGAGGATTCACTCTCCCAAAAATCACATAACTTATCTCAAAATAAAAGAAGCTCAGGCACTGGAAACTTATTGTAAAATTTGAACATCTAGCCTTAGATCCAGATTAATCTAAAACAGAGCATTCTTCAAGACTCATAAATAAAAAACTAGCTGCCTGTCTCGAATTCACTTCCTTCAAATAATGACATTGAAAATATTACGATTGGTAGAAATAATGCAAACACCTCTAATCTAGCGAAACTGATACAGCCTAACGTATCTAAAACTGGCTTAAACTTAACGAGCTTGCCTAACCCTCCAATGCTTTTTGTTCAGAAATACAGAGAGCATCAATTAAAGCTTAATCAGCGAATGGAAAAAAGGAATTTAAATGACTTGTCATTTAACAAAAGTGACAATGGCAATAGTGATGGCGTCTTTGAGAAGGTTAACCATAGGATAATGATGGGAGACAGCAAGCAGCCTTTCACCAAGATCTTCAACGAGCTGGATAATAACTTGTTCTACAACTCCAAGCACCCTCCATCTAATCACTAGCTGGCTAACTTGATGAATATCGAATCTGAGAGTTTTTGTTTCGACACTAGTAAGAATCTCTCACCCTTAAGACCGATAACTATCTTGAACCCAGAGACCTAGCATCCTAAGATGCAGACCTCTCCACATTCAAGACTCAGCTCTTATCATTATCAATTTTTGAATAATAGTTTGGAATAAGGCTACAACTACAATTTCACAAGCGGAGGAAAAGGGGGTCTGAAGGAGGCTAATTCGATTGAAATGGCGAATCCTTATAACAGTAAAAAGTATTAATAGATTAGAGAGGCCGGGCAGGAATTAAGTTTCTATCAGAGTAAAAATTGAATAGTAAGCTAATAAAATATTCACCATGAATGACTATACATAATTAATAGTTTTCTCATTGCTATTGTATTAACTCATTTCATTATGAATTGTAGCATTGTGGGGTTTTGGGGTTTTGGGGTTTTGGGGTTTTGGGGTTTTGGGG